GGACTGTTTATGCAGTAATCAAATCAATACTCTAATAATGACTTATACACGAATTTAATCGTGCGAATAGGAGGACCCTAATATTATCCATTCAAAATTCAAACATCATTGATGTACTCTCTTGAAGTGAATGATATGAAAGTGGACAGACTATGGGACGCAAATAAATAAGAGATGATCTTAAATAGCTTTTACCCACTTTTCTTATTATTCTATAATAGTAATTAATAAATATAATTCATAAGTAACTTAATTATAAAGATATTAAAAAAGATTAGTCTTTATTGTTTAGTTACTAGCACATACATCATCGAAAACAGATGATCCCCAAACTCTCAGAATGGTAGGAGGAGCAAATGCAAATTTATGCGGAATGTCCAAATTTCAGAGAATAACAACCTACTTTATTTTTTTACCTATAATAGCAACTTACTTACATTTTGCTTCCTACCTATCATAAGAATATCGTTAATCAGGTAAAATGACATCCCTTTAATATCAATCATATCATTTTACTTTCATTCTATTTATCTGTAACAGTTACATTTTATACATTTGTAACATTTTACTTTTCATTTTTTTTTAATTTGTATATGTTACTCCAGTTTTTGGATCTAAATTTTTTTTTAAAAAAAATGTCCACCAACAACTACAAACAAATAGTAAATACAGTGCATTCAAAACAAAATTGACTATTTTGTAAAAGGCTTTAAAATTTTTATATCGTCAATCATAACATGATAAACATGTGAGACACACCACCATACAAATCTAAACCTTATAATCGTCGACTTAGGGGTGTTTGGCTTAGCTTTTCACAGTCCAAAAGTCCTTTTTGGAAAAGAAAAAAAACAAAAGATGTTTGGCAAAACTAATTTTAAAAGCTACTTTTGGAGTTTTTATACAAGGAAAATGAACTTTTTGGAAAAGTCAGGAAATCCTGACTTTTTGTAACTTTTCCAAAAAGATTGTGAGAAGCTAAGCCAAAACACCCCCTTATCTTTACAAGAATAAGACCACAATAAGGAAAACCTGGTTGGTCAAAAGTCAAACACCATAGTGACCAAAATAAAGGAAAAACTCTACAACCCATCAATGCACAAATCTAGATCCTTTCACCTTCAACTTCTTTGGAAGAAAGAGGAGGTTCAAATCTTGTGAAAACCCTAAAAGCCGAAATCAAAGAAAGCAGAAAGAAACAAAGCAAAGCAATAAGATGAAGAGCCAAAATGAGATTTAATCTCCCACAAAATCTTCCATATGAAGAACATGCTTCACTCCATGTCACCTTTGGGTTGCCATTGTATGCCAAATACACTATCTCCCCAAAGCTACCACCACTTGCCACCATCAAATATGCCACCACCTATATCATCGTTGATTCATAAAAATCTATAAAAGATTGAAAGAATTTGCCTATTTTTTATGAAGCAAGATGAATGTTTCTATTAATAAAAATGAGTAAAATTTTAAATCAATTAAAACTTGGTTGGTAGCTTGTTATCTTTTTTCTGTTTTTTTTCGTACCAAAGATTACTTTTCCACGTCTTGTATAAAACAATATAGAATGTTGTAGACATCTAAACGTAAAGTCGTAAACCTTTAACTTGTTTTTTAAATTCGATAACTTTTCCTTTAATTTGACCGATTTTACCTTTTATGAATAAAATATATTGATCTAGAACTTCTATTACTTCTATTAGATAACTTTTAACCACTTGGACAAACTCGATTGGATAATTCAAAATTTTAAATAAAAGACTAAAAGTAGATATAACCTGATCGCAAACAAAAAAGATCCAAGCTTTGTTCATCAAGTTCTTGACCCATGAAGAAATAACAGCAACCACAGCATACCCAGCAGAAATTGCACTAATGCTGACCAAGAATCTGTCAAAAAAACACAAAATCTCATTAAATAAACAAAATATTTCAAGAATCTTGATGGGTGTCATTTGAAACATGTCATAGAGATGGATAATTACTTGAGACCCTTGAGATTACTGAACTCTATTTTGCCATACATTTCGTTATTTTGATGATTGGTCAAAGTCAACCACATGGAACCAAGACTTAGAGGAACCACAAACAACCTTAACGAGGAATCTATAACTTTAAGGGTATTCACATTTTCACCAAGAATCATCATTTTAAATCCAAGAAAAACCCACTTCCAATTTGCAACAATAAACTGAGAATATGATCAAGATTCTGACTTTTCACTTTAAGAAGATGAAGTTAAACGGGTACAAAAAAACAACTTTCTTTTGGGATGAAACTGTCTGCAAGATCAAATTGTGAATGAATAAAGAAAAAACTGGGAAATTTAGGGTTTTCTTTGGACTAAAGAATCATGATTTAAGGTTGGTTAACAGTGCAGGAAAATGATCAAACTTTGGTGTTGTGACCTTGGCGAATGAGTGAAAGAAAGAACAGAAGGTTTTCGTTTATGAATCTGTTTGGAAGCAGAATGGATGAATGAATCTAAAAATTGGGGAATTTGTAGGGTTTTCTTTAGGGCCAAAGAATCATGATCTGAGGTTGGTAAAAAGTGCAAGAAATCGATAATGGATTCCAAGTGGCGGAAAGGCCCTTTCCCCGAGCTACCACAGCACTATGCCCACTATATCGAGTGTTGAGTGATTTTATGATGAGCTATAAGAGCACTAATATGGCGATTGTAAGTTCTACCAACTGCATTGAGGGTTGTACTTTTATAAGGGTATATGTGACGCTTGTATGTTGTATTTGTATCTACTGCATTGAGCTTTGAGAGCTGAACTTATGTATGTTCTGTAATGACTTGTACAATATGATTTGAGGGTTGTATTTCCTTATACTCGAATATTGATGGTTAGGTTACTGTTACTGTGGAGGCTGCAAAATTTGTAGTTCCAAAATGGTAATAACTAATAAAGGTGGTCTTTAATAACCCAACCACCATTACCACGTTTACCACTTGTCAACATTTCACAAGTATTTAATGTATTTAAATTCGATGTGAAATCACATCTCACCAAACTCCATTCTTTTTTACTTTTTATATATATTATGTTAATCTTCCCTAATAAATAAGGATCTTTTTGTCACATGGCATGTTCTCCTTCAATCTGTCATGTGTCTTTTTCTAATAATTTTGAATTACTATATTTTCCGCATGTCATTTTCTTGTGTTTTTTATTTTCATTTAAATGTCATCTCATTATATTCATTAAAGTGCCAACCGTAAAGTCTATCTGTTGCTAAATATAAGATGTTATTTTGAGCACATTTACACTCTCCATTTCAAATTCGATCTGATTAGGCTAAAAATCAAACGTTGATTTGATGAATGCTTTCCAAAATCATAGGTTTTTCGAAATCGTATGTGTTTTCTACTTTATTATTCGCATGTAGTTTTGTTGGTTGTGGTTCGATCCAATGTTGTTGGGTCTTTCTGTATTCATCATTTCTACTTCATTTTACTTTGGTCTAATTTCAAAGCCCTAACAATGCTCCTTACTCAAAATCAAGACCAGAGACACACAAAACATCCTTATCATGTTTACAAATCGATGACGCTTTCACTTGAAATCGATTATTTGTTACGTTTTGCATGCCTATTGATTGATCTGATGATCTACAATGTGTTGATTAATGCCGGAGATTGTTCCTATTAAGAGGTTTTCGAAATACTAAAATGCACAGGCAAGGATTATCGAGTGAAGAAGGGAATAAGAGGCTTCAAAAATTTACTCCCGGTGGATCAACAAACTAATTTGTTGTTTTTTGGTAAGTTGATAATGATTCGTCCCTTAAATCTCGCCCCTTTCCATATATGTAGGGTTTTGATATTAATACGAATCCTTAAATCTCTGTCAATTTTAATTCTTAAATTTGAATTCTGCCTATAAGTTATAGATAAAATGTCCATGAAGAAATCATCAATCATGTTTCTCTTCTCTGTTTCTCGATTGCCTATAAGTATATTCTCTCCTCATTCATGGCCTATCGTCTCATCTTAATTGAAATAGCAACATCAAAATCCAATAAATATGTACAGAAGAAATAGGTTCCCTCCTTCCCAGATTCAATATTCGTATTTTGACATAGATTTAAGATTCATTTATTATAATTTTGACAACTTGACATTTTTTTGTGTGCTCAGGTTTGTGAGGGAAGGATATTATAAGAATGTGTTCTTCATATAGTCTAAAGTGACACAAGTGGGAGTAATCCTGACTCCTGAGGAATGGCCGATTGAGTTGAAGAAAAAGAGTCACAAATACAAACTGCTTCTGTATTACTATTTGCATCATCTCTATAGGTTTTTCTAATACTATTACATGATACATTATTGTGTTTATAGGAACATAATCTCTTTATTTTCTTAATACGTCGTTATAAATGGTTGGTAGTTTTAATTGTGGTCATTATTGGAGATGAAACCACCATGTTTTGAGAGCGTTTTCATTGGAGAAATTATTATGATGAAATTCATTGTTTCTCCTATTAGGTTTATTGATTCTCTAGTCAGGTATAATCCAATAATGAATTGGGTTTTTTATTAATTAGGTCAGGTATATTGGAGAACTTAGGTCACTTTTTATTTAAAGTTTATGTTAATTGTCTTCTTATGATATCTTGTGTTATAATGCGAATTTTTATTTTATCAACCAATCATTTATTCTTTACATTGAGGATTTGATTGTGAGTTTTTATCTTTCATGTGTTTTTAGGTTCCAAGACCAAGAATGAGATAATAAAGAGTGACATTGGTGGCAGTGAACTGAAAAAAAAGATATGATTCGCACACCAACCATTTGTTAGTATGTCTCTATGAAATTGAATTGTTTGATTTCAAATTTGTTTTTTCTTGCTTTATTGCTCGTATATATGTGGTGCAATTTCCGTATTCTCACATGACAAGTCAATTAACCTACAATCTATGTTTTTACTGAAGATCAATATTGTCGAAAACAATTCCTGGATTATATGTGTTTTACACAATTGTTCAATGTAATCATGGAGCTTATTTGTTAACTTTTATTTTTCATATTTTGGATTTTGAGTTTTACTCTTGGCCTTTCTCCAAAACGGATTGGATACTGAAGTCCAGAAATCAAGGTAACTGCATAGGGAAAGAAAGAACAAGAGAAAGAAAATCTAAGGTACTTTAGCTACAGTCTACTGCTATCTTTACTTTCATGGCTTAAATGCAATTAATGTATGCTGCTATTAACATACAGAAATAAAATTACATTCATGTGTGTTCTTCCTTTGCATATAACAGGTTCTGATAAAGATAGACTTAAAGGTGCAAAATATCAAAAGTTTTTTAGCATCCTGTTTAGTTTTTTTCACTGACTTTTTGGTTAAATTTCTCTCCTAAATGGGGAGATGTGCTGGAAGTGGATTGCAATTGTCACTATTTTCATAAATTAACGGCCTTTAAGTTTTTCAAGGATATTATTGGAGTATATCATGCTGTTTTGGGAGGTTTTTCTACTAAACGTCATGGTGTTCTTATTTACTGCTTTGGTTTTTTGTAGGCACTTATAAATATTTTTGGTATCTTTGTATTTTAGTGGTGGTGAAGTATAGACGTTGTTGCCCCTGTCCTTGGCTTTTTCACCTTTTTTTTGTCTTCAAGGGTATTTCGGGAATTTATGGGTGTTGCTTGGACATACGTTTAAGTTTTCCACTGAAAGGATTTATAGAATGTGGTTGCTACTTATGACGGTTTTTAAGTCAGTTCCTTCAAAGCTTTACAAGTTAGATGTTATTTTTTGAGGTTGTCTCTAAAGTTTATTGTTATTCTTGGGATTTGTCAATAGCTTGAAGAGGCTCTCATTCGGTGTTGCTTATAGTTATTTTTAGTTAATTCTCTGTATTATAGTTGCTTTGGCAGTTGTTATTTTCTTATTTTTTTATTTTATTATTATTATTATTATTATTATTTTGTCTATGGTACTCTTTGCATATGCCTAATTTTTCTTTGACTTTTTTTTATCATTTTATATATGTTATGTCTTTAAAAAAAAGAAGTTAACTTTTCTGGCATTGGTGGTGAAATGGTCAAGAGATGTCTGATTTATGACTATATTGATGGGTGGTGTTGTACCTTTTTAAAATAAAAAAGTCTGTATTAGAGTCTAAGTGGTCCTCTTATTTTATCTCAGGTAGTAAAAAGTCTCTTTGTTTACATTTTCATTATATGATTTTCTTAACGTAATTATTATAAATAAAAAAATCTTCACTATATGTATATTAATAAAGGACAAATAGAGTATTAATATTGCACCATTAAAATCGTGACTTTGTATATTGACATAAAATTGGTGTTGGATATATAGGTCCATTGGAGCTCTATAGACCATTATTTTAATGATACGATGGTTCTGAGAATATAATGTAATAATTTAAATTGGTTTTGCGTTTATAAAAAAGATTGACAGATCATTTGGATTTTGAGATTGGTTGATAGAATTTCAAGTGAAATTGACATTAATAATTTTTAAATTCAAATATAATTGCAATAACTACCATCATAGATTACTAGATATCCAAAAACAGATAGCATGAAACTCAAAACGTGAAGTACCAGAACCGAAAAAGGGTGTCTTAGAGTTAAAAACAAACTTTATTTTTATTTCAGTTTCTATTTTAAGCAAATGTCGAATCCAATCGTGTTCTATCTTTAGTGCATCTGTGTATTTTGTGTGTGTTTTCTTAACTATCTTTAGTAAAAATTGTTTATTTCTATCATTTGTTTGATTTTTATCTAACTATATTATACACTATCAATATCAATTAATTTCAACACTTGTGCCTTTGTTTTACCTATTGACTTTTAGCTAATGGTAATAGTTTCCAAGATAGTTGTGTTACATAATCACAAAAACAAGGAAATAAGATGAGTGTGACTGCAATCCATAAACTGACGCATGGGGGTAATGTCCACGTACGCCTCCGAGAGAATGGTGTGATTTTTTATCAATTATCTTTTTTTAAAAACGTGTGTATTTGTGTCCTTTGTATAATTTTTTTATCTATTATTATAAAAAATATTGACTGGTCAATTTTGATAAAAATATCACAGACCATTTTTTCTATCTACAATTAAAAGCAAATGTATATTAGTTACCTTTTATTCATCATTTTGTATGTATTTATTTTGAAAGTTTACTTAAAAAGTCTTTATGTTACACCTTGATATTCAACATATTTTTTTCATAAATTGCTTACTTATTTATCATTATTTTTTGTATTTATGTAAAAGTATTACTTTAAAAAATACATAATTTTTACACCTTAATATTAATTTTTTTAACCCGTGTAGTACACGGGTTTTACACCTAGTAATAATAAAAAAAAAATTGATGTGTCTTCTAATAAACCTCAAAGACCGGTCAAGCTGTCACTAAATCTTCAATTTTACACTAAAGTTGATCCAACCCGATGCTAAAATGATTGGAACCGAACTGACGATTATGAGAGTATAGGAACCGAAACTATTGTAGTATTTAGATTTTGTGACGGCTCCTAAATTGCCTGGAGCCGGTTCCGGTACCAGGTACCCGATTTCATTAGTTTTTATTTTTCCTTTTTTTTTAAAAAAAATTAAATTTACCGTTGCAAAAATACATTATAAAATATGGACCAAAATCACTTAACAATTACAAACAACAAAAACTAATCATTTCAAATTACGAAACCAGGTAACCATTACAAAATTGCAAATCAACGCTTTTCCCAGATCATAACCAAATTTCTGAATCAACTGCTCCAAAGTTCCAATGTGCCAAAAACCT